GCTTTTTCTTGAATACAGTAAGAATAATACGACACTTATTTTAAGAATTAAAGGATTTTATTTAAGTTTATGTAGACTTAATTTTTAATTCATTGATACTCATTTAATTTTTATAGATACATGATTTAAATTAATTAATTGATTTGATTATAAATAGATAATAGTTTGTTGCTTATATCACATTGAGGACAGTACAGATATGTCATATGTCTCATGTCATATGAAAAGAAATCCATTTCGAATAGAAAATGGTGATGATAGGGAGAAAATTTTCAAATCCAAAAGAAATTGTTTTAATTACCATATAGATTTAATTGTCTATTTATTAATAAATGTTTTGTTTGAGTTTTATGTCATATGAAAAGAAATCCATCCCGCTATCCAGCGCTTTCAAAATAAAACATTACGTTACATCGTAAATGCTCCATACTACATTAGAAACAGTGATCTCCACCGTGACTTTGGCCTGCCAACAATCGACGACATGGCTAAAAGGTATGCCGTTGCTCACAAACAGCGTTTGAAAACACATGTCAACGTTACAGCATACAGTCTTCTCCAGAGGGTTGCAGTATCTAGACGGCTAAAAAGGATATGAAAAGAAATCTATTCTGAATAGAAATTGGTGGTGATCGTAAAAAATTTTTCAATTCCTTTTGGTTGTGTTAATCAAGTAAACCCTTGGGCTGACCATATAGCTGTTCTGGATATCGCCAAACACACATCATCATAAAATTTGCTCACATTAAGATTAAATTTTTTATTAATATTCTGAAATTTGTGTGTCTGCATATAAATGACTATATTAAAATATTGATTTTCGTGCTACTTTCTTATGAATAAAAGTTCAAGCAACATTTCAATTGTGTATCTTTAACCGATGAGTAATTTCTTTTGCCACAGCAAGTATTAAATTTTGCTCACAGATGAATTTGCCTACCCCAAATTAATACCGCAGGGAATATTAACAAATTTTTGTATTAAATTTAATTGTTTTCATTTTCTCGTTAATATCATTACTCAAATAATAAATTACTTTTCCATTCATTTACTGCAGCTCATCAATTAACGCAGCATCATACGCCAACGTTATCTGTGCGCACCAAGATTGGCGACCAACTCGTTCGAAATACGACAATGTCAGCAATTAAAACGATTGACGCCGCTCAGTCTTGATTCATAGGAAATTGAGCGCGTAATTCAAATTCAAGCACAAATAAAAATTCGTAATTAAACCGCACTCCTCTCCCAATCTCCCATACAAGCACTATTCAATATTTATGTTGTGATCAACCAAATAGGAAGTTGCAGGCTATAAAAATCGGTGGCACGTTTGCTGCAAATGTTTATTAGTTCTCTGCCTTCACAGAACTTCACAGAACTTCCAGACTTTGTCATTTTCTACATGAACATTCTGCAGAAGTGTTGAAATGTTCGGTATATTAATGTTATCGATGACAACGATGTTGTGTGCATAAAAACCATTAAAATGCAGCGCCTAAAATGTGCGACTCCCAATTTAGTCGTGAAGTACGCTTCATCGTTGGAGAGCCTATGGAGTACTCCGAAAATAGCATAAACAAAAAATAATATTTAGAAAGCATATTTCAACTTTCAAAAACATTAAAGGGACAACAAAAATTATGAGAATATTATTACCAACTGTTAAAAGATTTGTGATTCGCATATATGTTCCTACAAGCACATAATACATGCACTTCATATTGTAGACAATATATAGTACCAGCAGTTCGGAGCATAGCAGATGCACATTAGTCTCGTCAATATTGAGACATTTAGAGTTATTTGTGTAACAATTTTATTATTAAAAAATTAATGATTTAAAACTTTCTAAATGTAATCCAAATTGTTAGTTTTAAAAATTGGAAATATTGTTTAGTTTCTATTAAAAATTGATTCAACTAACCGACTGTGATGTTTGTAGTACAGAGAAGTTTACGAAAAACTATGTTTCCAGTGCCGCGAGTCACTAAAAACATAGTTATATTAATTTTCATATCATTTAAGAAAAATATACTTATTAACCTAATAGCATTAAGATAATACTAAAAATTAAGATGAGAAAACTTCTTAAAACAAGCAAGTTAAAATAAAGTACTTCAAATTATCTTTATTTTTTTCTTAGCTTGTCGTAAAAGTCGTTAGCTTGTCGTAAAGTCCTTGGCTGCATACAGTAGCCTCCGTCAGTTGGCTGAAGCCTACGCCAGGCAATCAGTCAGGCTGATTGTCGCAAGTTACTAATACAGAATGCGGTTAGATCATTTGTCATCAAAGATGAAAAAATAAGTTTTTAGATATTTTATTAATTATATTGATATTTATATTATAAATGCGAGTAGTAGGCTTTACATTTCTTCTTATTGTACTGGTCTCGTTCTTCAGTACAGTTTCTGTATTACTTCTGCCTTCTGCATATTAATCTGACTAAATTTAAGGTTGCATTTTTATTTGGTTATTCTAAATTTTAGAGTTCCCCTATGATATAAATCAATGTATGTTGAATAACTGTTTTATAATTCTAAATTTGCATTTTACTCACCACATAGTTAAAACCAAGCATCTCGTATACAGCGTAAGTAGAATGTTCATTAACCCGTTTAAAGTTTAAATCTAATTCAAAATACATTTCAGAAAAATCCAGTACATATATATTACATATATTATTATATCTGGGCTTGAAATCAAAAACATAACACTTTTAAGTCAAAATGGAACTTCTCAAAATTTATTAATCATTAGTTAATCATTAGTTTAGCAATATCTAAAATTAAGCAAAAATGTCATTAATTATATTTTTAAACGTTATTAAAGAAAATATTTCCATGTAATAAGTATAATTAAAATTACAAACTGCTTAAAATAATTATTTAATATTTAGACAATTCTAATAATAATTTGACATTAAGAATTGTTGAAGAAGCATATAATTTAAATTAATTACAATTTTTAAAATAAATGCGTAAGCAAAAAGACATACATATATTGTCTTTTAGTTTAATATTGTGTTCTAAACACTATATATTAACTATATATATAAAAATATATATTAAGCATGTATGAACGTCATTTGTTCTTTATATAAAATATTTCAAATATACGTTAGAACTGAAAATAAATAAATGTTGTGGAATGTGGAACTTGGGATACACGTGAGATTTGGCAGCACTTCAATGTGTCATTGTCAGCTGTAGATATTTGTAATCGAAAAGTTAAAGTGAAATTTTTGTTTTTTGTTTATTATAGACAAAATGTCTGAAACTCCAAAAACTCCAGGAAGTTTAGCAGTAGCAAATATAAAAAGTCGTGATAATGCTTTAGTTGAATTTAAGCGGCCTATTGGTACAGTGAAGAAAAAACAAAAAATACTAACAGAGGAAAAGTACATAGAGGTGTGTTAAAAGGCTTAGTTGTGAAATATTCATTTATTAAAACTATTTTATTATTTTTATAGGAACTTTCGAAAATTATACAGAGAGATTTCTTTCCTGATTTGGAAAAATTACGTGCCCAAAATGATTATCTCGATGCTTTGGAACGAAAGGATTATGCACAAATGGAAATTATACGCTCGAAATTCAGCGGACGACAACCAACAGCTCGAAGTCGTTGTAAGTATTTATATTAACATTAGGAACAATAATAATTATTTATAATATTAAAAAAATGTTTTTCTTATCAGCTATGACGCCAGATACTTTTGAAACACCAACTAGTAACATTGGACATACGCCACGGAATGAGTCACATGGAAATGATACACCAAAATCTACATTATCGACATCATCAAATAAATTGGAAAATAGTGTAAAATCCTTGTCAGATAAACATTCACTTGATTCATTTCTACAAGCATATACCAGTGAAGATAATTACAGTTTTCAAGAAATTATTGATACTGCAGAACAAAAATTGCGCGAAAAGTTTTCAGTACTATACAATGAAGAAAAAATCTCTGCGGATAAACTAGCACGTGCACTTACTTTGCCAAGTATAGAAAAGCAATTTGAAGATCCAGATCCAATGAGAAAAGTATGTACTCACAAATATTTTAAATATATTTTTAACTAAGTAATTATTTTTAGATTGAAACATGGACCTATAAAAATATGAATTCTATTATGTATATACCAGATGGTGTGGAACTGACTGAAACAGAACGCGTTGAAGCTGTTAATCGGAAGCAAATTATACAACACAATGCAACACGGCTTTCAGTAAATCCATTCAATGAAGAATTAAGCCAGAAGACTGTTACGAATGCAGCCCTTAGTCAAGCCACATCAACAAGTGAGAAATTTGGTGTCGATGGAAAAATAGTAAGCAAAGAACAAACACCACAAATAAAGGGTTTTAGTTTAGTAAAAACACCTTCGCCCAGACCGGGTGATGCATTTTCGCCATTAATGACATGGGGTGAAGTAGAAGGAACGCCATTTCGTCTAGATGGCTCTGATACGCCAGTGCGTTCAAATGCAGGTCCCTCATTTAAAATAAATGAGAACTCACGACGAGAAACTATTGCGCTTGAATTGGCTGAAAAAGTTGGAGAGAAAATGCGTGCACAAAAACAGCGTGCAATGGATACAGCCAGAAAAAATATTAATTCACCACTCATACGTAACAATATAGATAGATTAGCATCAATGTCACCTGCAGCACGTCGTTTTGCAACCACTAAGTTGGGTTTGCGTACACCGTCCATGACACCTTCTCCATTACGAACACCAATCGCAAAAACAAAATCCAAAGCACATCTAGCGATGGTAAAAACAAATCAAACGCACAAAACACCTGTAACCAATCCAAATACTCCCTCATCCGCAACGGACACACCTAAACAAATTAGTGACAAAACATATTTGACAGATGATTTGTTAAATATTCCTACAAAACGCCTAAAAGCTGCGGATTTCTTTTAATTATTTATTTGAATGTAAATAATTTTTTCTTTGTAAATCACATTTTCCAATAACCATTAAAAAAAACTTTATTTTAATAAGTTTACATTATAAGAATTAAAAAATTGTGACTTTCGATTAAGAAAATAAGCTAACTAGCACCTTCTTACTAAGCACCTTCGCTTTCATATTTTGTTTATTTCACATTAATATTAATCCCAATAATCAACGTGATCGCCTGAGTTGAAGTTTCCTGATTCCAAAATACTTATAAATTTGGCAGTAGTTTCTGTAGTTGTTAACATTGTTTTTGTATCCCTCTGTTGCTTAAAGGCCGCTGAAAGATCCTCATTAATAGTTTCTTTTTGCACCAATTCTGTCATATCTGTATCAATTGCACCAGGTGCGTAATTAAGTACGATGGAGTCTTTTGTCTCCTCAACAGCTAAAACACGAAAGTACATATCTCTAGCTGCTTTGCCGGAGCAATAAAAGCTCATTGAAGCAAAAGGCTCAATGCCACACTTTGAGCTCAAATTAACCACCAATTTGGGCACACCAATAAATTTTCGATAAAATTCGCAGTTCAATGAAACTGTAGAAAACAAGTTCAAATGATAATATTCGGTCCAGGCTGAGGTGTCTGAAACATCAACAGCACGTTTGGAGACATCACCAACAGAGCCAGCGTTGTGTATAATAAAGGCACGTTCAAAATTTTTACCTTCTTCATCGGAATCACTAAGCGAATGATGCAATATTTCTTCAAACTCCGATTCTTTGGCCTTTGTAAGATCAATTGAAAATATGCATACTTTCAAATCTTTTTTCAAGGCTTCAATAGCAAGTTTGGTTTTATTTAAACCATCGACACTTCGTGCTAACAATACAACAACAGAACCCGCTTTCAGCTTTGCTGCAATTTGTATGGCCATGGTTTGTCCAATACCACGTGAGGCACCTGTGATTAGAAAATAAGTTTTCTGTTCCAAGTCTAATACCATGTTTTTTTTTTTTTGATATCAAGTTAATTCAAAAAAAAATTCTATACTAAACACTTGTTGCAATACAGAATCACCGCTGAGCGACTACTGAAAACCATCTGTGCTTTTGTGCAGTTGGAGTAAATACCTCTCCACTTCTCCCATCGCTATTCAATACAAATCCGGACCAAATCCGCGCATTTTCTCAACGCTGATTCATAAATCGCCTGAATTGAATTTATTTTTGTTGCTTCGCTCTCTTTTTATCAATTCACAAAGCTTTGATAAGCTCGCACTCTTGCTTACCAAATTATAAATTCAGAGATTCAGTGTACCGTAAAAGAGGGGTGTTGTGGTAGGTTACATGTGTGCAAAAGTAAAATACTTAAGTCAACAAACGCATTGAGATATTTAAAAAAACGAAAAACTTGATTTTAATTACAATAAAATTTAAATAAAATTCAATATATAATACGTTTTTGAACTCAGAAAATGAAATACATATACTAGTTACGTATAATGCTTACCAAAACAGAAGTCTGAATATCAAGGCACAATAACATTCCTATAAGCAACACTGTTTACTATTTACTTAAATTGAGCATATCGAGTAATATTCTTTAGAGTACAGAAGTTTAAGGCAATCCCTTAACGTCGCTAAAGCAACGAGTAAGTAAAAAAATTCGCCCAACAAGCTAATGGGGGTTGGAAAGTAGTTTTAAGATGTAAGATGTAAGTCAGTTAGAAAACGACCTAATCAATTATAGAAAAAAAGAACGATAATTCAAATAGTTCTGTTAGGGGAAAAGCAACATAATATTTTCTAACTAACCAGCATGTCGTTAAAATAATTCCATAAGTCATTCTTTTTATTGAAGCTGCAGTATTGAACAAGAACAAGATAGTGTATATAATTGCTGTCACTGTCCTACCCAAAGAATATCTTCGGTATTCTTTGGTCCTGCCCTTATAACTTTAAAATTTAAATATCTGAAAATATACATAGATTGCTTATTAGTTTTTCTAAGCAAATCATGTTGTAAATAAAAAGGTAAAAAGTTTTTCTGAATGATATCGGAAGGTAACGATTAATCACATAAAAGTAGATAAACCAATGAATTATTGAAATTATAGTTTGCTACTATAAAAGTCTGCATTTTAAATATTAAAATATTCCCATTACATTCAAAATTTTCTATATTCATCAACTATATACTTAAGTTAGATTGGACTGGTTGGCATAGAACACATTTTCATATTTTACCTATACCATTGATACTGTATCCGTTCTTACCGCTTGAGCAGTTATCATTCTAATAAAGCCTTTATATTGAGTATCTTGTCTAGCCTAAGAATTTCGATTACCGTACGGAATAAAATCTTGAGACAAAGCAAAGATCTGACAGGCAATTATTTTTGAAGGCAATTATTAGGGAGTTTAAAAAATTGATTTACTAAAATATCAGGAACGAAATTCGGCCCATTAAAATTAATAGCTCTAAAGAATATTGGTCGAATATTTAAAAGAACCGTAAAAAACAGAGGAGATTTTCCAGAATATCTATGAGTTAATGGGTTGGTTTCTAAAAAAAAGTACTTTGAAGTTTAAAAAAGACTAATTATTATTTAATGAATAATGATTGAAGTTCTTATTTATAAACACAATCGGCTATAAGAAAAATTTTAGGTTCATTCACAACCATAGTTTTATTATTATTTATATATTATATATTTTATTATATATTTATAAATTATGATCCAACATTACTGAAATCAATATTAAGTCCACTTAATAAATCTTAAGTTCTAAAGCTTCAACACTATGATAAACAAATTTAAAAGATTGAGACCTCCTGCAATCTATTCTCAGTTTAATTATTAAAACTTATTCATTTTATTCGTAGACATTTCTACTGATAATATTGTAGGAGTGTTGTTATGATTTTGAATCACATAGCAACCGAGTGTAAGAAAACAGATTATTCTTTTAAATATTGATAAATGCAGATGGTAAATAAATATAAAAGCGTGTATTGATCATCTGTTTGCATTATTTAATATGCTTCACAATACATATGTTAATCTTAGAATTATTTTTATTTGTTATTATATATTTAATAAATACAATACTTTATGATTGAACCAAACTATAACATACATTATTAAATATGTACATATATTCTTGATTACCTAAACGAGAAGAATTGATTCAGCATTATCCGTCTGCTTGTTTGTCGGTAATTAGTAGCTTAGTAATTACTTTAATCTACCTCTATATTACAATTATAAGTGTATCCAAAAATATTAAGTTTAGAAATGTATGACATTGTTTGATCATGTTATATGATTTTAATATGATTATATGATTTAATTCTACATATGATTAGTCATCTTAATCTAAGTAAACGTAAGCTGCACATAAATCTATTAATCTCTAGCAATACCAAATGGTTATTATAGATTTGTGATAGGCATCTTAAGAAATGATTGGAGCTTCATTGATGAGCCGTTCTTCAATTTCTTGAATTATGGAGTCTCAAGCGCTTTAATCATTTTTATGTTATATACACTTAAGTGTGGGCCCAAATCTTTATATATTTTGTACATGCTTCACTGCTTTTCAGTACTATTCCCATCTTGTGTCGCTAACAGACTTTTAAGAAACCTATTGTACTGTTGTTACTATAATTATTTTCTTTCTATCTTCAGAAATCAAACATTTTCGCCTTATATTTAAGAAGTTGATACAAACTTTTCTCCAAAGATTAATTAAAAAATATTTAAGAAAATATTTTTTGATCCAACAACAGAACCTCTAATAAAAACCAGACGACTTGATTCCCCACAAACCCATGACGACTCTAGTATAAATTGAGTATTATTCTTATCGTTTGATGGACACTTGACTTTTTCGTTATATAGAGGTTTTAATATATAAAATATAGTACGATATAACATAAAACAGTTTTTTTAAATGTTCCTAATTTTATTCATATCTGCCCTTGGTGACCACCGAAACATATGGCAAAACAATTCGGATGGTTTTTTATAAAAGGTTGACTATTCATATATAGATGTAATTTTTTCTTTTCTGAGAAAAAACAAAAAAAAACATATAATCCGATATATTTTCCAATTAAAAAAAAATTATTTTTTAAAACAATTTTTTTTGTAACATTTAAGAGATATTATGATCTTCAAATAACCCTTGGCTACAAAAATAAATCTTTTTACGAGTGTATTAGTGTGAAATTAAGATTGATCTACCTTAAGTAGATCATGGATTAAGATTGCTTTGATATATTTTAAAAAATTGAAATATCTCACGATATGCTATGAGGTCGATCACGATGTTTTCACTGGTAAAATCCAATTAGTCATTCGTCGCATCGAAAATATCACAGCTCAATACAAACGTACATACATGTATATACATGCATATATATAAAACTACTAAAGCCTTGTGTAAACTTTTAAAAAATGTTAAAAATTTCGTTGAATTGTTTTCAGTTTCGTATTAAATATATTATTTATTGATAACAACCAGCTTCTACCAGGACAGAGCTTATCAATTTTCACGTTGAGTACACAGATAAGAGATGCTTTGGCATGTTTTCACTTTAATGTGCTGTAGACATGATAGATGTCGCACGCCTCACATAGGAAGTTGATTTGCAGAGAAAAACAATTGCATTTCTTAGTACAGTTGAAAATACGAAAGTGAATATACACGCCACTAATTGTTTTATTAAATCTTATTTGTAAAAAAGAAAGGAAGAGGAAATTTAATAGTTATGGCATCAAAAAGATTTGATTTATATAAACGCTGCTTTTTTATATTAAGCGGCATATCGAATCCCTTGGGAAAAACTTTAACCATAGAAATGTGTCGTCGATTCAAGGCAGGCTCCGTAGCTGTGTTAATAGATGATTCTGAAGAGAATCTGCAGGAATTAAAAAAAGAGTTGGAGTTTCTTGAAAACGATGTGGAAATTGTTTGCTGTGACATTGGCGACTGGCAAAAAGTTTCTGGAGCAACTTTCAGAGAAATACTTGCTGCCTCAGTTAACAATTACATAGTAGATGACTTTGAATTGGCATTTATTCTACATAATGAAGGACTTAATGCCACAAGTAAATTAATAGAACCACAAATTGCTAAGGATTGGAAATTATATGTTCAAGAGAATCTTTACGCACCTGTAGCTTTAAACCAGGAATTTCTAAGATTTATGCATTTCGATGGCGTGAAAAAATTGTGTGTCAATATAACTTCAAGCCTACAAGTGAAACCAATTGTATACAGTTCATTGATGGGGTCATGCAAAAAGGCTCGTGATATGTATTTTCGTGCTATGGCTGCTGAAGAAGGTCGTAATGGTGTTACTGTCTTAAACTATATGCCTGGTATACTTGCTACTCATGAACCTGAATTGGATGTAAATGGTAACTTGGTGGAAGTAAACGAATTGAATATGGATGAAACATTACTAAATATACCACGTGTTAGACCTATACAGACAACTTTGAAACTTATTAATATTTTAGAAGATATGTCCTTTATATCTGGGCATGATCTCGATTATTACGACACCTATGTTTTATGAGTAGTACTTGAAAAATATTATCAGATATATATACGTTTTATATTTGATGATATTTTTCATTTGTATAAATTGATGGCGAATCATAGCAATGATAATATTGAAAATGTAAATGATATTTTAAATAAAATTTTGATGATGTTTGGGGGTGAAATGAATGGCAACGGACCGGAAAATAATGAAAATTTGTTGTTTTATTTATTTTTGTGAATATATTTTTTGTGATATTTGGATATTTCAGATTTTTGAACAAATTGTTAAGTTTTTGATAAGTAGAAAAAGTAGAAATTGTAGAATTCACATTAGAAATTATAGAAAATTTCAAAAAAAATATCGCGAACAACACAAATACGTAATATTATTACTACAAGTTCTATTGAAGTACAACTTGAGAGAGTCTTCTTAGCCAATCTGGACAAATTAAAACTATTGACAATCCTAACAATGGCTCTTGTTTCTAAATCAATAAAGATACTGAAGAAAATTCTTTTTAATCACAAGGTGCGTGATAAAAAAGTTTTATTCTGCATATCACAGTCTTCGGGTGTCGACGTACTTCATCTTTAAAAACAGGTAGTTCACAGGAATATGTGCACTCAATACCCAGTGATCGTTTGAGTTCAGGACTATTTAGACTAGGAAAATTGATTTGGCTGGTTGGTCTGTAGTCGAAAAAAGCCTTCTCTTATACGGTCAGATTATTGAGTATCCCTCAAAAAGCTTAGGATTTTATGATGGAAGTGATTCACCTCCATTTGTAAACTTATTGACTGTTTCGTTACCATCCAGTCCAGACAAGATACCAATAAGTAATTATTTACCTTAACTTTTAACTTTTTAAACTCACAGAATAAGTATAAGTAATTACTATTAATTAATAGTTTTCTCTAAGTAATTACTTATACTTATTCTATGAGTTAAAAGAGTAAGTTTAATTGAGACATTTCAAGAATTAATCTCATTTTTTTATTAAAATAATTAAGTAATAAACAATTATTTTACTGAATGTGGTATCAGCTCTTGTTATCATTTTGGTAAACCTATTGAAGCTTTAAAATATCAACAGTTCCATTTCCATATTCTAACAAACGGTAATAAAATTACTCGTGTTTTTCACATGTAGCTCACTCACAAAATATTCTTATCATAAAGAGCCTTGTGGCCAGGGAAGATCAATGACTTAACACGTCACTGATATCACAGTCTGAATGTGAATGTGTTACTAGGCGAAGATTTTATGAAGACCTTGAATAAAACACTTGTTGGGTCCTCCTTTAAATGTCTTTCAATTTAATAATAGTCATGTTTTGATTTATTTATTTTTATGAAAAATTAAACCTATATATCATAAAAGAGTGAAGTAAATTGAAACTGCGGAAAACATTGCTCTAGATACTTTCTGCTGACCTAGTTTGTCATAAAAACAAAAATTTTTTTAATATTTACATTTTTATTTGTTTCAATAAATACTATTTTAAATTTCAAAAATTTGTTGACTCAATTGATAATAATTTTTTTTTTCAAAATTGCACTAAATACTGAATAAAAAATTGGACTTTAGCTGACATGAAACTTTTAAAAGTAAATGACACATTTTTAA